AACATATTTTAGGTTGCGTAGGTCATAAATCACTATTGCAATTACTCAGCTCTGCTCCTGTAGCTCAGAAGCAGCACAGACAGTATGTAAACAAATGGATGTGGCTGGGTCCCAATAAAACTTTATTTATAAAAACAAGTGTGCAGTCAGTCTGGACTTGGACTACAGGCCAACCCCTAACCTAGCACAAAAAGTTTTATTTATTTGGCACATGTATTGTGGAAAATACTATCAATACTCAAAGGATAAAAGTTATAATTATTCATTTTCTGGGCCCTCCCAAATCACCTTTAATGTCAAAAGCATTTCCCCATGCTGATTGTTCCCCCCACAACCCCACCATTCAGAGTTGTAAAGAACCACACACTTTGTCCACATGTAGAAAAAGACAAGAGAGTTATGAGGATCATTGCTGGTCAAAGAACATGAGCTCAAACGACATCATCAAGGAATGACACAATGCGAGGTTTCCGTGCGGGAAGCCAGCCAGGCTGAGAGGAGCCCTCTAGGTGCCCCTCCGAGTGTGGACTACTTACATTACAATCATCTAAAAGACACACACTGAAAATGTACATTCCTGGGTTCCCCCTCAGAGCCATGGAAAAGGAACATTTTGGAGGGTGAGGACTAAGAATATGAATTTTGAATGGCCTTGCTGGGGAATTCTGATGCACACTCAAGTGTGAGTCATTTAGGCAGGCACCATGGGTCTCTGAGCTGAAACTCGCCTTCAGTGCGGGAATCTCGAGGAACTGCCAAAAGCCTGCCTCCTCCCTCTAGGGGTTCTCAACCTCGGCCAAGCACTCAGAGCACCTGGGGTGCTTGAAAATATGCAGATGCCTGCATCTGTCCTCAGAGGTTGTGATGTAAAGGGTCTGGGGCGCAGCTTGACCATTGGAAGTGTTTTTAAAGCTCCACAGGTACACAGCTGAAGATGAGAACCACTGCTCCAAACCATGGATTCAATTTAGAAGTTCCCAGGAAGCCTCAGGGATCAAGCCCGGGTTCCCAACGCCACCTGCCCTTGTCCTCCTGGCAGGAAGTGTTTGGTTACCTGCCATCAAGGGCTCCCTACGGCAGCCACACCTGGCGATGAGAGAGGCCTCCTTTGAGATGACCCCAAAACCCCTGGTATTGTGACTGCATGCTGTTTACCTCGGCCATTGCCCAGCACAGCAAGCCACGCTGTGCAACCACGTAAATTCTCACACCTCCTAGGGTTTGTGGCCCGGGCTTACTGAAAGGTATTAAGTAAAATGCCTTTACTTCCTCCACTAAAAGCTTGCCATCTCTCTAAAGCTAGCTTTCTTAAAACACACACACACACTCACACACAATTTGTATATTTCACCTTCATGTTCTAAGGAGTCTTTAACTGGAAAATCATTTTTGGCCAAATGAATTTGGTGAATATTTGTTTTCTTTTGTTAAGTTAGTGGACAACTATTTTAAGAAATAATACCTGATCCTAGATTTAGTTCCTTTCTTGATTCATTCTTATAAAGCAAGGACACTAAAATAGATCAGTGACAATGGCTAACATTTTCTGAGCACCCTGCTTTGTGCCAGGCACTGTTCTAAGCTGTTCACACGGATCCTGCCAGCAAGCTCTCAGAAGAGGGAAAACATCATGTGCTTCCTACACGTTCTCTCATTTAATTCTCTTCGGAAACCCCCAGAGGCAGGGTCTGCTATGCCCATCTCACGAATGAAGAAACCAAGGCTCAAGTTCACACAACCCTGGAGAAGAGGCAAGGAAAAAGCAGGGAGACATGAGCGCCCAGCTCTCTGCTCACCGCTCCCAGCAAAATCCCAAGGAAAGCGCAGCCACGCCTGCCCGCTGCAGATTCCCCAGGGCCAGGTCCCACAGCCCCGCCCAGCAAGATGCTCCAACCCTCGGTCAGCCTCATCAACAACCACTAGACATCTGCCCCACACAGGAGCGCACAGTCCTGTGGAGCATAGATGGGCCTCACCACTGAGCTGCCACCCAAGCAAGGCCAGTTCCACTCTCTTTTTGAGTGAAAGGTGAAAACTGCCCAAAGTGTAACAAGGTGTCCTCGAGCACCTGCTGCCTCGCCTCGCGGTCCTGAGGAATGCTATTAGCAACAGATCCAGACAAGGGGACCTCTGGGAATGCGCACGGTTCAAAATTCAAAAAGGCCATGGGAGACACTGAATGAAGTTTCTGAGGGATCCCGTTTTTATGAGTTTCTTGGATATCCTTCTAAAGTTTCATCAGGCAAGTATAAGTGAATACAATCAAGTGTTCTAATTTTTCCTCCTTTCTTACACAAAACAGAAGCAGTCCTGCATCTTGAGTTTCTCATGTGATGATGAGGTACCCTGGAGATCTTCCCGCATCGGAACACAGCACATCCTCACTCTTTCTGGGGGCCTCCCAGTACTCCAACGTACAGACATGCCATTGTTTAACTAGTCCCCTATGGATGGTCACTCGGGTTGTTGGGATGAAATCCCAGAAGGGAAGTCGCTGAGTCAAAGATACACGCATTTGTAGTTTTCATGGAGAGAATTTCCCCCATGAGCCAAGCACAAGACAAATAAAGCAGGTGCTTTGACTGCAGAGGAAATTCAGTTTGAGTCCCAGCTTTGCCACTCACTACCCCTGGGACTTGGGCAAGCTGTTTTATGTCCTTGTGCCCCAGGTTTCTCATCTGTGAAATGGGGATAATTACAGGCCCTACCTCACGGAGCTGTTATGAAAGTGTTAAGACTTAATATCTCTAAAGCACTTAGAACAGAGTCAGGCCCAGGGACACTATTCACTGAGAGTTCATCACTGTTACTGTCAACTCCCAGCCCCGCTGATTTCTGGGATGCAGCATGGATGGCAGGCATCTCCACCGCCTCCCGGCCGGCTGACGCCTGGGGCTGGGTTGCCGCCACAGAGGCTGGCAGAACGGCGGCCCCAAGTTCTCGCAAGGTTACTGTCTGGATCCAGCCAGCCCGGCAGGCTCATCGGCGTCCCAGGGCTAGTCGCGCTCAGGGATGCTGACTCATGCTAAAGAAACGTGCAGGAGGCTGGCGAGGGAAACCAGCAGGCCAGCGTGTTAATTCACCGTGAGAAACAGAACTGTCAGGAAAACCAGACACAGCCAGCGGCCTCTCTCACTGACTGACGTCCACACTCCCTGAAGGTAAGCTGGGCATGAGGACAAGTCGAGGCCCCAGGGGTGCGTATGACTGGTACCAGCTCTGAGAGTCTTAACGCACCCATCGTTCTAGGATCCCTTCTCCCATCTCGACCACCTCCCTGACTTCACGCCACCCTCATTTTTCACCTGAAGTGCTGCATCGGCCTCCTAACTGGGCTCCCTGCTCCCCACCCTCACCCTACAGTTTAGTCTCAACACAGCAGCCAGAGGGAGCCCATTAAAACCCAAATCAGAACTTGTGCCTTCTCTGCTTAACACCCCAAGTGACTCCTCACGCCCTCAGGGTCGAAGCCCAAGTCCCTCCAGTGGCCCACACGGCCCAGCAGGCTCCTGGCCATGTCAGCCCCTGTACCGCCGCCCACACGCCCACCCTCCCTCCTCCAGCCATCCTGGCCTCTCAGTTCTCCACACCTGCCAGGCTGCTCCCACCCCAGGGTCCCTGCACTGGCTGTTTCTTGGTCCTAACCCAGCCCCATGTTGACAGCCTGTGGCTCATCCCTCACCTCCTCAAGTGCTTGCTCACACATCACCTTCTCAGCGAGGCTTCCTCTGACCACCCTGTTTATCAGTGCAGCCCGCCCCACCCCACCTCCCCACCCACTTCCCTCATTTCCCCTCACCCTGCCCTGGTTTGCTGCTTTTCCCTCCAGAGCACTGATCATTGTCTAACACACAATTTACTTATTTGTTCTGTGAATCCTCTCTTCCCGGCACACCAGCCCACGAAGGCAGGGATTTTGTCTCTTTATCTGCAACACATCGTCTGACACCACCTCTCAGGGTCATCTGCACCCAAAGGTCCTATCGTTAGCTGGAGCGTCTCTTACTTTAGACCAGTTAGCTCCCGCTCCCCTTTCACCTGTCAAGAGCTCGCCCTTTTTCCTTTGGGGTAACCCAGGTCTGGATAACCTGCACATTTCATCCCCCAGATCCCATAACTGGCTCAGGGACTGACATGTGATCCAAGCCAGGCCAGTGAGATGAAATTTCTGTTGGAAAGCTTGGATCAAAGTTCTTTCCTTGTCCTGGGACTACTAGCAGCAAAGCTGACAGAAGCTGAGGACAACTTGTGGAGTTTGAGAATAAAGGCAACTCAAGAAAAAGCACTAGAAAAACCCAAGGTATTGAAGAAATTGTTTGAGTTCCTAAGTCCAGCTGTACCTGAAGCCAGAAAGTACTCCTGGACTTTTCAACATAAGCCAATAAATGCTCCCCGCTATTCCAAGACTATTAGGAGTTAGGTTTTCCACTACTTGTTCTAACACACTCAGGTCCCCCACGTCCTGTGCAGAAATAAATGGGTCTCTCTGAGTGACACTTTGTTTTCTGACACATTAGATCTTTCAATGCGCCACAGACAAGACTTGCCAAGTGGGGAGCCCACTGGTCTTTCCTTGGCAAGACAGCATATGTCTGATCTGACCTCCTGTGGGTTCAGTTCTCAGAAGACTCTGTTTCCTAGTTCTTGAGGGGCACCTCACTGCTGAACATACGTTCAGCCTAGAGGCTGCGTGATCTGGGCAAACTGCCAATAGCATAACGGACCATCGCCAAGCAGCAGGGAGACCTCGTTTCTTCAAGGGGCTCCAGGTTTTCTCTTCAGTCTAGACCTCTCTGCTGGGCTCCCAAAGAGCATTCAGCTTCAGGGGTGGAGCATGGGACGAGGTACAGCCACAGTGATGCAGGAAGACCTCACAGGAGCTGCAGCCGTCATCCAGGGGCCAGAGGACTGTGGACTGGACTAAAGTTTTAACCGTGAGGACAGAAAAATGGATACACTGTGGGGAGACTGAGGAGGCTGAACTGAAGAACCTGGTGATGGACTAGACATGGGGCGTAGGGGAGAAGACTCTCAGATTTCCAGCGTGGGCCACGGGGTACACGGTGCTGAGACAGAAACCCCATACGGGTGGGGAAGGGCTGGGAAGGTGCCAGGTTCAGTTCTGAACAAAGTGAGTTCCAGATGCCACGAGGAAGCTGGCGATGGAACAGAGCTAGTCTGGGGAGGATGAGTGGATGAGTCCCACCCCCCAGGCCGCCTTGCTTCACTCACTCTCCTTACCAGCCTATGAGAAGGTTAGAAAACACATAATTTAAGATTCTTTCAAAAACGGCACCCTTGTTAACGAGCAGGAGAGCAAGAGTCGGGGTGGGGGCTTTGGTCTCTCTCATGATTTACCTAATAACTTAAACCACAACGGAACCTAACTTAAAGCAACGCTACCGTCCAACTTCCGGCAAAACAATCGTACTTCTTAGATCTAAGGTGAATATGACTAGTACTTACCAAATGTGTCAAGTATGTCGGTGATGAGGACAAATTTGCTTGGGTAGAACTGAATAACGCTTGTGTCCGAAAGAAGCTTTGAACACTAGAAAAAGGGCAGAGAAAAGAAAATTCACTGTCATGTCCGACTTGGCTGGAACACTCGAGGCCTGGAAAACTTAGTTTCTACAAACAAGTTCAAGTACTTACCATGTGCCAAGCCCAGGGCTAGTCACTAGAGATAATCATTTGATAAGTGAAATCGCTGTGCTTTTGACAAAGAGAGTTGACTCTGCTCGTGGCAAGTCTCTTAAGGAAAGACACTATCACCTCCCTCCAAGAAACCCACGGCTGAGGAATCTTATCCAGGAGGGTCTGAACTAGGATCAGCACTCGGTCACTGAGGGAAGTCAACCTGTGTCCTTGCGGATGACTCCATCTTTTCAGCGTGGCTTCCTCTGGTTTATTTCAGAATGGTCTTCACTCTTTTTCTTTATTATTATTGAAATGTACAGTCAGTTACAATGTGTCAGTTTCTGGTGTACAGCACAATGTCCTGGTCATGCATATACATACATATATTCATATTCTTTTTCATTAAAGGTTATTACAAGATATTGAACATAGTTCCCTGTGCTATACAAGAGAAATCTGGGGGTTTTTTAACTATTTTTTTATATAGTGGCTAACATTTGCAAATCTCAAGCTCCCAAATTTATCCCTTCCCACCCCTTTCCCCCATAACAGTAAGATTGTTTACTATGTCTGTAAGTCTGTTTCTGTTTTGTAGATGAGTTCATTAGTGTCCTTTTTTCTCTTTTTTAGATTCCACATATAAGTGATATTATATGGTATTTTTCTTTTTCTTTCTGGCTTACTTCACTTAGAATGACAACCTCCTGGTCTATCCATGTTGCTGCAAATGGTATTATTTTATTCTTTTTTATGGTTGAGTAGTATTCTATTGAATAAATATACTACAACTTCCTTACCCAGTCATCTATCAATGGACATTTAGGTTGCTTCCATGCCTTGTATATATAGTGCTGCTATGAACATTGGGGTGCATGTGTCTTTTCCAATTATATTTTTCTCCAGATATATGCCCAGGAGTGGGACTGCTGGATCATATGGTAAGCCTGTTTTCAGTTTTTTGAGGAATCTCCATACTGTTTTCCATAATGGCTGCACCAAACTACATTCCCACCAGCAGTGTAGGAGGGTTTCCTTTTCTCCACACTCTTTCCAGCATTTATTGTTTGTGGACTTTTTCATGATGGAGAATGGTCTTCATTCTTAAATGTTTTTTTTTTCTATGAGATGACCCTGATAGTAAATCTCTAGGATTTTTTAAACTAGCATCACTTTTCCTTCTAAAAGGAAACATGACAAGCTTCAAAGAGTGCATGTTTCTCTGGAACTCAACTCTGCAACGCTGGGAACACTTTGGCTTTGCAGGGAATTGCTCAATGCCTCAGCTATCACTCACGCCAGAGGGCCATCAGCACGTTCAGGACTCATAACAGAAGACTGCAGCTACACAACACGGCCCCCAGAACCCCAGATGAAGTCATCTAATATAATCAGAAACAAAAATCTCTCTCTACTTTGAAGAATTAGAAGTAATGCCCTGAAGTCTTTACAAATTCAAAAGTCAGGATAAGGAACTGGATAACCTTGCCATATTTTATCATTCTCTCAGACAGAAAAAATGTCACATCGAAACAAACCATTTGGACATTTAAAAAGGGGGGCCCTTTCTAAACGGATGCACTTCCAACATGCAGAAAATGCCTAGAAAGTTCATCACATCAAGATGTCAGCTGACATGCGTTTTTTAGTATGTTGTTAACCAATATCTAAATTATTAGATTCATCAAGTTTCTCCTTGGCATCACATGACTAAAAGTAAACAAGCATCCAATTTGTGAAACATCCTCTTACAGTCCAAGTGTTATTTGGGGGCTGGAGGTGAGTGGAATGTAAGCTGTTGAAAGAACGGCATTGATACTAAGTATGGCACTTGGATGTACACAGAACTCCACTTCCTGACACCCTGCTTTGTGTTTTTCGCATGCCCTTTATGAGAGCTCCAACTTAATAAACACTTACCCCATGAGATTTCAGGGCTTGGGAAAAACAAACAGCTCTTGGTTCCTAGGGATGTGACATGTCTTAAGTTCCTACCCAGAGCCCCTCAGAGATGGTTACTACCCACTGGTGGGGTGAGGAGGAGAGAGAATTCAAAATGAGGATTTCAGATTAAACACAGCTGGGACTTCCCAACACCTGTGCGTTGACATGCCTCCCAAGCTGGTGTCACAAAACAAATATTTTTATAAAGATAACAGGAAGCAGAATTTTTTTAATCCAAAGTTAAAGTCATAATAATGTTATGAATTGAAGTTACATTTTAAATCACTATTTTGAAGATTCCACAGTTGTTTTTTTTTTTTAACTTTGGTGCAGTTTCCAAAAATCAATAAAAATCAGGCACCCCCAGGGTGTGTGCTCAAAAACAGATTCCCTGCTCCAAACCAAGGCACCAGGGAGTCAGAATTTTTAACAAGGGCCCCAGGTGACTGCCTCAATGAAACACTGAGTTCATGAGATCCACAATCTGCATCACACTCGGAAAGGAAAAAGTATTCTACAAACCAGGGGCTCTCAGCTTCGGAATCATCTGGGGAGCTTTTAAAAATAAAGGCACCTTGGTCCCACTCCCAGAGGTTCTGATTAAGCTGGTCAGGGGTGCAGCTTGGACACCAGAATTTCTTCAAGCTCCCAAATGATTCTAAAATACAGCCAAGGTTGAAAACCATTGTTACAAACATTTCCTGAGCAAGTGACTGATACATTACTCTGCCTGAAATACTTGCTATCGAACTTACTAACACTGCAGAAAAAAATGCTAAAAGAGTGTTTTTCATTTGATTCCAATTAGCAATATTCTAGAAGGACAACTGGCAGTTTCTGAAATTAAGCTGGAATTTAAAAAAAAAATTGAAACACAGCAAATGGATAAATTGAAAAGATAACTGTTGGCTGAGTACTAAGAAAGGACAACTGGATGGACAGATGGATGGAGGGGAAGGAAGTATGGAAAGAAGGAAAGGAGAAAGCAGACTAATTAATCAGAGGACAATTACTACCCAGAATATATATTGTTTAAATCCTAAAAATCAATAAGATAAATACAGATAACATAATGGAAAAATGAGCAAAAGGAATCAACAAAAGGCATTTTACAAAAAAGGAAATCCCAGTGGCCAACAAACACGTGAAAAGATGCTCAATCATATTATAATTGGGAAATTGCACATTAAAACCACAATAAATATAATTTTATTACCTCCTAAATTAGAAAAATTGAAATAGAAAGTCTGTTCACACTAAATGTTGGTAGGCTGCTGACCAGCACAGATTCTCACATTCCCACTGCTCAAACAGTGCAGGCTGGCACAGCCACTGGAGGAAGTAAGCCGGCATCGTCTGCAAGTCAGACTGAGACACACCCCAAACCCAAGGAATTCCACTCATAAGGACAGGCGTTCATCTAGAGAAACGCTTTACATGGTCACCAGCAGACACGTTCAGTGTTCACAGCACTGTTCATAATAATGAAAAAGGAAAAAGAAAAGAACCAGATGCCCATCAACAGAATGAATGTTGTATCATTTATGCATCAGTAGATTAACTATGGCTAAGAGGGCAAATCTCTCCAATTGACCTATAGGGTCAGTGCAATCCCTCTCAAGATCCCAGAAGGTTTTGTGGGTTTTTTGTTTTTTTGGGGGGGTAGAAATTGACAAGCTGATCCTAAAATTCACATAGAAGTGCAAAGGACTCAGCAAAGCCAAAACAATTTTGAAAAAGAACAAAGTTAAAAGACTTAAACTACCCAGTTTCAAAACTTACCAAAAAGTTGCAGTAATCATGAAAGAGTCTGGTACTGGCATAAGGACAAACTTAGATCTATGGGATAGAATTGAGAGTCCAGAAATAAACCCTTACTTTTATGGCCAACTGACTTTTGACAAAGGTGCCAAGATAATTCGATAGGGAAAGTCTTTTCAACAAATGTGGCTGAGACAACTGGATATCCACATGAAAAAAAAAAACTTAGACCTTTATAACATACACACAAAAACAATTCAAAATGGAGGATATAACCTAGATATAAGAGCAAAAACCATAAAACTTCTGGAAGAAAACACAGGAAGAAATTCTTATGACCTTGGGTTATGCAGAGTTCTTAGACACAACTCCACAAGCATGAGCCAAAAAGGAGAAAAGTAATAAACTCGACTTGATTAAAATTAAAAACTTCTATATTTCAAAAGATACCATTATGAAAATGAAAAAACAAGCCACAGACAAGGAGAAAATACATGGAGATCATCTATTTGATACAGAACTTGTATCAAGGATAAAGAATTGTTACAACTCAACAGGAAGATAATCTGATTTTTTAAATGGACAAGTCTTAAATAGACAGTTCACTAAAGAAGACATAAAAGTGGCCAAAAAGCATATAAAAAGATGCTCAATATCATTAATCAGCAGGTATATGCAAATTAAAACCACAGTGAGATACTACTTCAAACCCACTCAAATGGCTATAATCAAAAAGACGGGTAACAAGCGACTGAAAAGATACGGAAAAACTGGAACGCTCATACGCTGCTGGTGCGAATGCAAATGGTGCAGCTGTTTTGGAAAGCAATTTGGCCATTTCTCAAAAGTCAAGCATAAACTTACCATATGACTTAGCAATTCCACTCCTTGGAATCTATCCAAGAAAAATGAAAATATATGTCCCTACAAAGATTTGTATGCAATTGTCCATAGCAGTATCATTTATCTTTTTATTGAAGTATAGTCAGTTTACAATGTTGTGTTAATTTCTGGTATACACCACAGTGATTCATTTACACACATATTTTCCTTTTCATATTCTTTTCATTTCATTATAGGCCATTACAAGGTACTGAATAAATTCCCTATGCTATATAGTAGGACCTTGTTGTTAATCAATTTTATATATAATAGTTAATATCTGCAAATCCCAAACTCCCAATTTATCCTTCCTTATTCCCTTCCCCGTGGTAACCACTGGTTTGTCTTCCATGTCTGTGAGTCTGTCTCTGTTTTGTAAATAAGTTTATTTGCGTCCCTTTTTTTTTAGATTCCACATATAAGTAATACCATATGGTATTTTTCCTTCTCTTTCTGGCCTACTTCACTTAGAATGACAATCTCCAGGTCCATCCATGTGGCTGCAAATGGCATTATTTTATTCAGGGGGAAGGGATGGTGGCTTATGAAAATGTTCTAAAACTGGATTGCGCAATAGCTGCACAGCTCTAGAAACTTACTAAAAGTTGCTGAATTGTACATTTACAACGGTGCATTTTAAGATATGTAAAGTATATCTCAATAAAGCTGAAAAAGCAAAACAAAATAAAATCTTACTGCAGAGCAAATAAGGAGAATCGAGTTCCTTTCTCCTGTACTCTGTGCCTTGCTAGCTTTTTTGGATAAAGAAGGCAGTCTTTAACGTATTAAAGTCAAATTATTACTATTAACCAGATGTGGAGTTAATTAAACAGTTTCCTGGTTATTTTCTTTGGGAAGACATGAATCAAATCTCCTCCAGATGTGAAACTCTTAGAAGTCACAGTTTGATACTACAATACTCTATGGAGAGATGTTGCCAACAAAAATGTTTTGAAGAAGCTCTTGTTAGTTTAGATATTTTTCTCACTTGAGCCACTCAGCAAGCAAGCCCCAACACATGTCTCCAGGATGAGAGAACCCTTCTTCACGAGTATTTTCTTTGTCAACTAACAACAGCAACAGCAGGGAAACAGGCTCAGGTTTGCCTCTGTCATGAAACACACACACACACACAAACAAAAAAAACAAAAAAAACCCAGCATCTACCATACAAAGTATCATCTTAAAAGACTTCAAGCACCCAGTGTAAAGACTCCCAGACTCTCCTAGCCCTCTTTCCAGAGAAAAAGGTGTGAAAACAAATGTCATATTCCCGTGACATTAAACAAGAATGAGATCTGTTCTTTTGAAAGCAAATGGCTATTTAGAAATTCTTATTAATGCTGCTCCGAAAACCATCATGCACACATTATTCCTTTTACAGTGTACTTCTGAGCATGTTTTGCCAAGACAGGATGATCTTAAGAGTCAAGAAAACAGGATAAGCTGATTTCCCTACGGACCTTGCTGTTGTGATCCAAGAGTTGTCATGGATCAACAAATTCACCACCAAAGAAGATTCAACAAATGTACCTCTTCTAACACTGTAGACACATTTTCTTTGTCATACTGTTATTCAGAACATGTTCCCCAAATGCATATATCAGGGACACAAAGCCATCAGTCCAAGAGATACACAGAAAATCTGGTCAAGGAAACCCAAAAGATAGCTGGTGGATCATAAATGTGTCAGGGGTTGTATCAGGGCCTATATAACCCAGGGGGGCATCATTAACTCTGTAACTCTGTAATCTAGGGTAAATTTCCTAGAATTGTACAGTGTACAACCTGTGCAGCTGCACATGGCGGCCCTGAGATAAGCCATCTCATAAAAACACAATTCATAATCATGGCCTTTCATAGGAAGTATGTGAAAATGGAACAGATGAAAAAATTAGGGTAAGACCCTGAGGGCAGACCTCTGAAAATCCTAATTATTCACAAAGGAGATTTACAAAGGAAATTCTGGAAAAAAAATCACTAGATCTGACCTGGATGACTATTTTTAGAGCCTTCACTTTCTGGTCTGAGGCCCAGGCATCCTTCAGTGACTGGTTGAGCTCCTCTATGCGGTTCACATAATCCTGCTGAGTCAAATTCAACAGTTCCTTTTGGGATCCCTGTGGGCAGAAAGCAGAAAAGATATAGTTACAGAAGTAAAAAACTGTTGGACCCCCACCCTCATGTACAATGAGTATTAGCCAAGTTTCAATGTCTCAGTTGTCCTCATAATCCCACCAGGCAACAAGACGGTTTTGTCTTGTGATCAAAGAGGATCTTTTGAGTTTTCTGCAATGGGCAGAGTGCAGCGGTTGAGAGACTGGCCTGGACACAAGTCAGACCTGAGCCCACTCCCAGATCAGCCACTTCCTGGCCGTGGGATTCTGGGTGAGCTGCCTTCCACCCTGAGTCTCATCTGTGAACAGTGGTAACAGGACTTAGCTTGTTCAACAAAGTTATTGGGGCCTACTGTATGCCAGGCAGGTATGGTCTACCAGATGCTCCAGATACAAGGGCGAGCAGAGAGACATTATTTCAGCACTAATGGAGCTTAAGGTATAGAGGACAAGATGGACATTAATACAAACTGAGATAAATGCTGGAGGAAACAATTCTGTGAAGACACATATCAGTTCTCTGAATCTGAGGTGCTGACTGTGGGGAGCACAACCATTTCATGTACCACTAAGGAAAGAAAATTGCTGATTGTGGACATGTATCAACAGAGTGACACAGCCCGACTTTAGGGATATTCAAATGTAGGGGAAAAGGCTCATCTCAGAATGGACTCTAGACTGGTGGTCATGAATGGTTTCCTGGAGGAACTGATGCTTGACACAAACTCTCAGTGGTGCACAGGTGTTAACTAGGGAATGGAGGGCTGTAAATTAGCCCAGGGAGAGAGCAGTCAGGAGAGAAAGCCGACCACAGCAAAAACCACGGCAGAGGAGGGCAAGATCATCACGTGCATGAAATGACAATGTGTGTAAGGACTCAGCGCCACCCTGGCACACAGGACGTACTCATTAATCCTCGGCTATTGTTAAGATGCTCTCTACACAGCTCACAGGAATGAAGGTCAAACTAACCCGCATGAGGGGACCAGGAAGCAAATCTATTTTATATGAACATTCTCTGGAATCCAAAGTGAAGAATTCTTTATTAAAGAAATACAAGTAGAAGGTTCAGAAAATCTAGGTTGATCCCAACTAGTCACTTGAACTGTGAGACAGGGTCTTCCCTGCCCCTCTAGTCGGAAGAGCCACGTGACTGGCTTGGGCAAATGGTCTGTGAGCAGAGTGGCATGTGTCCCTTCTGGGCTGAGGCAGTGACAAGTGACCCTTTCTTCAGCTCTGCTGTGACAACCCTGGAAGCCACCTGTCAAGATGGTGGCATCATGAGATGGTGGTGTTTGTCACCCACACTGGATAAATAATGTGAGGAAGAAACAAACCTCTGCTGTACTAAGCCACGGAGATATGGAGGTTCCCCCGTTGCCACAGCACAACCTAGCCTTACCCTGACCAATATGCTGTCAACATGGAGGCCGTGGGCAGCCATCTGCTGCCGTGAGCAGGGAGAAGCAAGAACACCAGTCGGCTGGGCCGGGGGTGCAGGGAGGTGGGAAATGGAGAACTAGAAAGAGAGTCAGTGACAGGAGGCTCCATAGAACCAAGAGAGACAGAGGAGAGCTGCTGGGGTTCTGGGGGGTTCTTCAGTTCCCAGCTCCAGGCCACTGTGTCCTTGGGTTCAGGGAAGTTCCCTGTATCCTTCAATATAGTCTTCATTTTCAACATAAGCCAGCTCAAGTGACTTTCAGACTAAATAGCTTTGAATAAAACCCTTAGCAATTCCCTTCCTATCAGCCAGAGTTGGCGGATGACATGCAGACTGAGACTCTTGGGCACCCTAATTCAGAACATGTCCTTTCTGAACTGGGGAATAAGATACTGGACTATCAGACTCTTGCTGAGTACCTAACAGCTCTGGTCTCAGAGCTGGAGGGATCCTGAAGCCAGCGAAAAGATGTGGAACAGAGCAGTGGCAACTGCCGTTAGATGGCCCCTTACAGAGTCAAAGCATCCCCATTCAGTCCACACAACTGTATCCTTTATCCCCATTTTACAGACGAGGATCTGGGCCCAGGAAGGCGAATGCCCAAGGGCACCCTGTTAATAAGCAGTCGAGCCAAGGCCTCTAGTCTCTGAATGGTGACAGTTACAGAGTTACCACTTGCAGAGCAAGCGCCACAGGCTGGGTGCTGGGCTGAGCACTTCACACTCATTAAGTCATTTAATGCCTTATGACAACCTTAAGAGGCCGGTACTGGGTAGTATCCTCACTTTACAGATAAGTAAACTGAGGCACAGAGCTCAAGCACTTAAGCTCCCTGCCCCAAATCACAGAATTACTAAACGGTAGAGCTGGGATTCCAACCCAGGCAGCTTGGTCCCAGTCTGGCCTCTTCCCCACTATGCTTTGCTGCCTCTCTGAAAGACACTCCAGAGACTCGCCCGTCCCCATGGACCAGGCTAATAACGTCTGTGAGTGAGTCAGGCCAGGGAGGGCTATGCACGCCGGACGGTGCACGCACACCCAGGCTAGATGCAAGAATGTGGGCCCACGGTTACCAGGCGGAATTTACAAGAAGCCAGAAATCTGGATTTGTATGTTAAAATTTACAAATTTTTATGAGTGGGGAAATAAGTCACGTTCTTTCCAAGCACGTGCAGGATAACTGAAAGATCCCCGTGGGCTGTACCCGGCAGCGGAGCTCTGCAGCAGGCGTGGTCATTCTATACCAGGCGAGGCGGCTTCCCGGGAGATGGCTCCAGTTGGCTTCCACAGTCAGACCCTGTCCCCAGACGCCCCGGGTCTGCTCAGGCGTCACAGTGAGAAAAACGCCTCCGGAAAGCCAGCCCGAGGCAGGCTCCTGTGAGCTCGGCCAGTCTCCCCCACTGGCATCTTGCCCGGGATCAGTTGGTGCCTCAGGAGGACTGAGCACAATGAGCAGCTCAAGAATGAATCACAGAGCAGCCGCCGGGACTGACCTCACTGGGCAGAAGGACTGAAGCTCCACTCCACCCCCGCGCTCAGCAAATGACTTGCTCACCTCTTCAAAGTCATCCAGCTCCTCCAGCCTGGTGCGAACCTTCTCCGACATGGCAGATGTGGCGGTCCCCGCTTTGCCTAAACAGAACAGATTTACGTCACACAGGTGGTGGCTTCCTCTGTCCCCAATACCCTCAAAGGAAAGCATCTTTCACTTTATGCTTCATCATGAATAAAGAGGCCAGGGAGCAATTTCATTACAAAAAATTCTCTGAGATTTTGAAATGGACATCCTTACATAACCCAAGTTCCCTCAGACACATTTCTGCTTAGGAGCTGCCCGTGGGAGCACAGCGGGCCAGCCTCGAAAAGGTTCCATGACATTCGATATTTACAAACTTTTCACTGCATCATTTGTTTATTCCCAAAGAAAAGAGGTCCAGATAAGGATGCCAAAAATCTGTCATTTAATTGTTTTCCATGAACAAAAGGCCCTCTCAGGCTCATGCTCACAGTGTAGAATTGTTGTACTAAGAACTAACAAAAAACCATCTCACTGTCTGCCCAGAGGTGGAAACATGAGGGCTTCAAAGCCCCCTCTCCAAGCAGACAGGACTAGTAAGCCTCCTTCCATCATCTGCCAGCGTAACTCTTCCCATCAGCAGGACTGGCAGCGAGAGAAGAAAAGGACTCCAGGCCGTGGGCCGGTCACACGGAAGGGCTCTCTGCCTAGCCAGCTGCTGCCCGTCACTGCCCCTCACTTCAGAACCCTTTCTCCATGATCTGAGGTCCCCTTGCTCCTGCCTACCAAGCTCACTCTCAGGAACTGAAGTTTATTCTTTTAGGGCACTGGTTTCTTAGCTCTGGTGTTAACTACACTCACAGATTTGTCTGGGATCAGCTGAGAGAATGGTACATTTTTTTAACAAGTACTAAAGTTAAGACGTTTCCAAGGCATTTGCTTTTTTTTTTTACCTTGTTTCTACTTTTTCCTTCATTTTGAAATACAGTGCAGATCATGCATATACGTACATTTTAACAGATCATTATAAAGCCTTTGTAGCCACCACCCAGCTCATAGATTGACTTGTTTCTTTCATTCACCACTGACTTCAGTTCATGGCATTTACCCATGTCATTGCACAGAGCCGCAGCTCACTCATTTTCACTGCTGTTTAGTATTTCCTATTGAGTGAAGACATCACAATTTATTTCTTATTCTACTGTCAATGGATGTGAGGGTTACATTCTCTGTGGGGCTACTCTGAACAATGCCACGACGGACATTTCTGTGCGTGTCTCCTGGTTCATACGCACATGCATTTCTTCAGGGTAGTGCTTCTCAGACTTTTACAGAAATCACTTGAGGATACGTTAACATGCAGATTCTGATTTTCAGTAGGTCTGGCAGGACCTGAGACTGCATTTCTAATGAGCTCCCACGTGATGTTAATGCTGCTGCTCCTTGGACACTTTAAGAAAGATGCAGCTGGGCAGAGTTGAAAAGACGCATCCTACAAAGGGCCACATATAAGTATTTTAGCTTTTGTGAGTCATGGTCTCTGTCACAAGTACCTGACTCTGCCATTATAGCATAAAAGCAGCTAGGGACGATATGTAAACAAACCAGTATGGCTGTGTTCCAATAAAACTTTATTTACACAAAATCAAACAGAGGGCCAGATCTGGCCTCCACGATGTAGTCTGCCAATTTCTGATCTAGGGTATATCCTCACAGTGGAATGGCTGGGTTAAAGGGTTGGCCCATCTTCAATTTTAGCAGATGATGCAAAAGTGCTTCCACAGTGGTTGTGCCATTTTCCACTTCCACCAGCAGGAAGTGAGAGTTCCTGTTGCTCTACATTCTCACCAGCAGGTGACATCGTCACTTTCTGATCACTCCAAAGTGGTAGACATGCAATGGTATTAGTTACGTTTTTTACGGTTTGGGGTCAAAGTCATGCCCGTAACAAAGGTGCACCCACTCTCTTGATTTCTAATGTGCTGTCTCAGCCTGCAGAGAATGGGGAGAGTTGAAGCTGCCACACAGCGATGTGCACAGATGTGCACAAAAACCACAGCTGTGCTCCTCTGCCCCCTAGTGGTATAGGATCTACGTCGGTGGCTTCAGAATCACCTAGGAGCTTCCAAAGAGGAATTCCTGGGTCCCAGCCGTCAAGATTAATTCAGTAAGCAGAGTGGGGCCTATTGGTCTATATGTGCATAAAAGTTCCCCCGGTAACCCTCCTGCACAGCAAGTTGGAGACACCCCGGTCCAGAGTTTTGGATTCTGTGTCTTAGCAGAGGAAACTGAGAATCACCATGTCCAGGGACCAGCGGCTGGTAAGACAGAATGTCTGACTCCCCATACCGTGCATCTGTGTTTTCACAAGGGATAAAGACTTAAGGCAAGGGAAAGGATCTTTTAAAAAGGAGAATTTCAGCTGTTCTCCAACCAATGAGGAGGCACGCAGAGAGATGACTGCTCTGTGATCCCCAAGTCAAGCAACTGAGCTTCTGTTTACTCTAGTAACCTCTTTAATTCTGTTCTTTTTTCATTCATCATCTAAATATGCATTTCAATGCTACTACGTCTATACATAATCTATGAAATAAGTTTCAACCGAACTATACCATGGGGATTGGATACTACAAACTTTCTTCCTTTGGAAAATTCTATTCAAGGTAACGGGAGAATTTCCCAACAGAAAGTAACAACAACGAAAACTCACCTTTTTCAGATCCCATGAACAGATTCTGCAGAGGCAAAAAAAAAATTAGTATTTTTTAAAACTAATTGGACTCTATGACAAAAAAAAAAACTTGTAAGATACTTAAATTATTATTTAAGTAGCATTAAGACAACGTGACCAACCATTTTCCCACAAAGCCATCTACTTACCTACAAATCAGAAATATTTATTAAAAGGAAGAAAATACAGCTCACTAAAAATTACTGGAGATTCAAATTTCTATTCAGTTCAGAGCTCTCAAAGTGAGCCAATAAACAGCAAAATTTTAAGGACAATGGTGGCAGATGAAAGCATTTAGCTTATTCTAAATCAGGGTTTCACGACCTCGGCAATATTGAACTTATAGGATGGGAAATACTGTTGCAGAGGGGCTGTGCTGTGCACTGTAGGATATTTTAACAGTATCTCTGGTCTCTACTTAGTAGGTGACAGCAGCGCGTCTACAGCTGTGATAACCAAAATGTCTCCTGACTCTGCCAAGTCCCCTGGCGGGGCAGGGTGGGTAAAATTCCTCCTGGTAGAGAATCACTGCTGTATAGTAACTCAATGCGATCAGAAGACAATAGGAAAAAGTATAAATACACCAGCAATTCTGCTGCCACTCTGCTCAACAAGGATGGACGCTGAGAGAAAGAGGGAGTGGAAACATCCCAGTTGCTATCGAGTTCACCCTCTCCTCCCTGCTCACAGCCCCGACATCTGACGGCCACACTGTCACCTTTCCCGGCTTCCCTCACATCTGAGCATGGCCTGTGTCTACCTTCAAGACAAAGGTAACAGGACACATTGCGGGGATTCCGGGAAATCTCCGGAATGAGAGAGGGCACATCCTACTTTCCCCGCTCCACCTCCGAACATGTGGGCCTGAGGCAACACTGCATGTGACAGAGCAGCAGGACAGAAAGAGCCGGGTCCCTGATGACTCTGGGGCTGCCACACAGCCCCACGCTGCACATCTCTAGACTTCTTTTCAGTGTGAAGAGAGATGAACGTCACTCTTGTCAGGGAGGGCTTCGGTGATGAGCAACGAAACCTAGTCCTCAACGACACAGGCGTTAACCTGCTTTCTCCCTGCTTGGTCTCAGCTCTCCAGAGCCCTTCAGCAACTTGCTAAGTACCAGGTAAGCCTCAGGCACTAGCCAACGACCTGATCTAGCGGCCGTCGCCCCAAAGAAACGGTGAGCTTCCAGCCCTGGAAGAAAACCCAGCAGTGGGACCCCCTGCACAACAGTTAAGAAGCAAACCTTCTTTAGGTTGGCGCCCTCCTCACCTCATAACTCTAGCCTCCCCCAGAGACAGGACTCCCCTGATCCAATTCTTTCTCTGAACTGTGCCAGATCCCTGATTCTTAACACATTTTTTAGAAACCAATCAGCACTTTTCTCCCAGCTAAAATTGAAATAATAACTGAAACTTATAGAGCCGAGGAGTTGGGACAACATAACTGTGATACCATGATTTATAATAAGAAGCATATATTTAGTCTTTGTCCTCATTCTGGTTACAGAGCTTCTTGAAACCTGTGTAATTTCCAAAGTGAGGAGAGCGATCCAGGAGTCTTTTGTTATGGTAATGAGGTGACTTTGGAAGTACCTAAGGATGGGGGCTGGTTGTCAGGGGAACCAACCATGTAATTAGACAGTTGGAAATTTCAGTCCCACCTTTCTGATTTCTGGGGAGGGGCAGAGGGGGCTGGAGGCTGACTCAATCACCAGTGGTCAATGATTTAATCCATCATGCCTATGTAACGAAGCCTCCATAAAAACCCAAAAGGACTGGGGTTCAGAGAGCTTCTGGGTTGGTGAACCACAACACAACCGCGTCCTGCTATCCTGGACCCCAAACTCCATGAGGACAGACGCTCCTTTGCTCAGGACTCACCCTGTGTATCTCTTCATCTGGCTGTTGGTTCTTATCTTTAATTGTCTTTAGTAATAAATCAGTAATCTGGTGAGTCAACTGGATTTTGAGTTCTATGAGCCACTCTAGCAAATTAAGTGGACCCAAGGAGGTGGTGGTGGGAGCCTCTGATTTATAACTAGTTGGTCAGAAGCAAGGTAACAGCCTGGACTTGTGATTGGCATCTGAAGTGGGGGCAATCTTGTGGGACTGAGACCTTAACCTGTGAAATGTGATGCTGTCTCCAGGTAGACAGTATCAGAATTGAGTTGAATCACAGGACACCCAGTTAGTGTCGCAGGATTGCCTTATATGGGGAAAAAACCCACACTCTCGAATTGGGTACAAAATAATAATAACAAAAATAAATTACTAAAAACTCTAAAGCAGACACTGGGAGAAAAGTGTATTTGTACTCACAATAGATAGCTTTTCTGTGGTGGTGTACCGGGCAAGGATTTCTCCTCGCTTGCTGGCCCAAGGCTCAAAATCTGATCCTACAATGGAGTTATCATCTCTGTCACGTTTCTTTCTGGCGCTGTCCTAAGGAAAGGCAAGACAACCTCTTCAGCAGCAATTTTTAAATCTTTTTTTAAAAGTATAAGCAAACGTGGTGATCTGACAGTTGATAACACAGTTCTATATAACTGAAATGTGCTGAGACAGTAGAATGTAAATGTTCTCACCAAAAAAAAAAGGGAAATATGCAAGGTGATAGATGAGTCTATGAACTCAGTCGAAGGAATCCTTTCACAATGTATATGTGTATCAAATCATCACACTGCACACTTTAAATATCTTACAATTTTATTTGTCAATTATACCTCAATATGGCTTTAAAAAAAAAAAGTATGAGCAGCAGAAGGCAGACAGTCCTTCAGTGTAGAATAGCAGTGATATCTACACGGATACAGAATCTCGGTCTAAAGGTCCACTACAATCAAAAATTTTTCAGGCCAGTTCACCACGAATGGCCAGTAAACCTATCAAAAGATGCTCAAACTCATTAAAAATCAAGGACAAGGAACCTGAAAGAGATCATTCTTCGACAATCAGCATGGCAAGATGTAAAATGACTGAGAATATCCAGGTTGGCAGTGACGCAGGGAGACAGGCACTCTGCAATACTGCGGTGCTGGTGGGAGTGTAAAGCGGTGAAGCCTTTTAGGAGAACAATTTGGCAGCAGCCATCAGAACCTTAAATACACACAGCCTTAACCCAGGAATGAACTCCTAAGAAGTCACCCTGCAGAAATCCTCGCATGTAGGCAACAAGACACACATGCACTCAAGCAGCACAGCGCCACTGCATACGTAGCAAACACCAGCCTATGTGCCCATCGTGGTGAATTAAAGCATGTCTTATTCCTTACGATGCAACGCAGCTGTTCAAAATAAGGATGTTTTCTAAGTACTAATATGGAAAGTTCTCAAAGACATATTGGCAAGTTTAAAAAGTATATATGTTAAAAAAAAAAAAGTCAAATAGATGTGTGCAAAGCCAGCAAAGAATGATGGTGAATTCTGAATTCAGACTGGCCGCGCTTGAATTCCAGCTTGGATGTGACTTAACATCTCTATTCCTCCGTGTGGGCCTCTTTAAATGAGGATTATAACAGCTTTCACACAAGGCAGTATAAGAACTAAACCTGGGGGAGGGGAGGGTATAGCTCAAGTGGCAGAGCGCATGCTTAGCAAGCAAGAGGTCCTGGGTTCAATCCCCAGCACCTCCTCTCACCAGCACTGTCATCACATCTGGATTATTTGAATTGTTACAACCAGAATGTGCATTCCTTGTTCAATGAACCCCCCCCCCCGATCCCTGCACCCAGAGGACCGACCACCAGCTGGAAGCGTTACCGTGGCAGCCGCCATGGCTGCGGGGTCAGCAGAGGCCGCGAACATGGAGAGGGGGTCGGTCCCATCCAGGACGCTGCTCAGCGGGTCCACCACGGAGCTGGAGGATGAAGAGGACGTGGAAGAAGTGCTGCCTTTCCGGCTCACCTTCTTTGTCTTTGACTCTGTAACCTGCGGGGAAAACGTGTGGAAGTAAAATGGAGGTGTCCTATGACTTCTTCCAGCGAAACACTCAAATGGGTTTTCTCTCGTTCCATTAGTTGAACTGACCAATCCTTTCCAGAGGGAACACTTATTTTTTGTGACACATTGACATGACTCAGAATCCCAGCTATCGAGGAAGGGAAGCTGAGAAGTTAGGGTTAGGGAGGGACGGACGGGGCCACTGTGATTTAGAAGGCGGTGATGTACGTGAATTCTTGTAGGGCCTTCTTACTCAAAGTGGACGAGCAGCATCCACTTCCCCTGGCCGCTTATAAAGCATGGAGACTCTCAAGCCCCGCCCCAGACCCACGGCACCAGAACCTGCATCTTACAGCAATTTGGTCTGGCAGGGTAATGAACCAGGGTATGAACAATCCCAGAGTCGTCGTGCTCAAAGGTGTTCTCAGTGGCACTGCACAGCCACCTCGTCACCACGAAGCAGGGACTGCCCAACTCCTCCCTTTTTGGAGAATTTCTCCTGATGCTACTTCCTGGTGTGTGTACTGAGGGGTGAGTGGGGGTATGGGGCATGAAGCCATGTTTTTGTTCCACTGGCCCCCACTCCTCCACACTTCAGATGAGCAGACTGGGGTGAACCCCTGAGTCAAGCGGATCCAACTAGAGTCTGTCTGCTGAAAATTTAGGATCAACATCAGGAAGGGTTAGTTAGGCTCCACTCCTTTCTAAATGAGGAAGCTGGAGGCCAGGGGCTGAGAGACAGTGATGGTGTGACACTTTGAGTGTGTGTCCATAGGGAAGCAGAGAGAACAAACATTGAGAGAGAGAGAAAAGGATGACATATAATAGAATGAAGGGGATGGTGTTGGATAAGAGAATTTGGCCTTTGTCGCTAGTTCCTGGAAAGAAGACTCTTAATCCTTAGAGCACCTGTTAATTCATGAGCCCCCTGATCACACCTGAGTTTATGCTAATGAGATGCCACAGCACAGTCCCAAGAAAAACCCTAGCATGTCATTTGAGGGTTGGGACTTTGAGCCAGGTGACAATAGCCTGACCTCAGCGGAGCGGAGGGAGGCTCAAGATCAAGTTCAATCATGTGGCCAAGGAATCAATCAGTCATGCCTATGTAATAAAACCTCAATAAAAAGTGTGAACACTAAAGCTCAGGAGACACATGATGTGTTGGGAGGTGACGGACCCCGATTTCACAGGCAGAGGGCACAGCAGCTCTGTGTTTGGGACCCTGCCAAACCTTGCCCAATATTTCTCTTAATTCAACTGGTCCTCACGTGTATCCTTTATAATAAAACTGTAAGTATAAGTATAGTGCTTTTCTGAGCTCTGTGAGTTGTTCTAGCAAATTATCAAGTCGGAGGAGGGTCTCAAAAAGCCCTGGGATTTGTAGCCAGTTGGTCAGAAGTCCGGGTAGTCTGGGGACCCCCAAATCTGCAGCTGGAGTCTGAAGCCAGAGCAGTCTTATTGAAGACCCTGCCCTAGACCTGTGGGGTCTGACACTAACCTCGGGTGACTGGGTGACGTACCTCCCACTGGTGCATGTTTGTCACTTTTGTCAGCTTGGCATCCATTCCTCCACCTTCCAGGTCCAATAGCCCAGATTTTCTTTGAGAAAACAGCCCTGCCTGACTCGCAGCTCTTCCAGGGCTGGTGGCGTGGATTCTGCTCCCAGTTCCCAGGGTAGGCACTAGCCCCAACCCAGTCAGTCAGCGCATTCTACACCCTGGTCACCAGGGTTGGTTCAGGGAAGGACACATAACCCCAACTGGGCACACGGAAACCACTGGAGAAGAGACTCTCCCTGTTGTTGGGCTGCTAAGGACGCAGGATATAAGCTTGGAGCTGCTGCAGCTGGTCTGTTACCACGTGGGGAGCGAGTTCCTGAGAATGGAACCAGCTCCCTGGTGGGTCAGCCACAGCCACATGAGCCCACAGGGATTTGACGGGCCCTGGGAGGCCACAGCATGGTCTTATGACCTCCTGCTTTATGTAATCGTCTCTGTGTGTCCTCAGGTCCTCTGTCATTAAGAAACATTTTGTCCTCAGGGTCCACTGGCATTTGTCAACCTCATGCCACCCGTGATGACAACCACATAGCTTCTATTACTTGCTAATGCAGTGCTAGCCCAGGAGAGACAGACCATCTATGTCTCTTGCCTGCTTTTCGTTTTGTTTTATTTTTTAAATAAACTCACAGATAAACTAAGATGCTATTCCGGACAGCACCCTATATTGGTCATTAGAGTGATTCTTAACATCCCGAATAGGCAGATTAAGAAGTATTTTGTTTTCACCTCCAAATCAGGAACAACGGCATCCTCTACTCATAACCACCTCATTAATACAAGAAAGGGAATCAACAGGGTGGTGGGTGAGACCACAATCACAAAAAATGGGGCAGAGAATAAATTGGTTGATTTAAATATGCAAAAGCAACTACCGCTGGCAAAACAAAAAAGACCCAGGAATACTGTCTGCAACTTTATGGAATAAGAACATCACAGGGAGACCCTTGACAGAACTTACAGTTATGGGCTTCAGTGGGTGATAGTCCCCAAGCTCCAGCGGCACAGCCTCCAACCGGCATGATGCAAACTCAGCCTTGTAGTTCCTATTTCTGGAATGCCTGGTAAACAGCACACCCGGAAACCAGTTAGTGGGAGATGCATACACCCTAAGAACGTTTTGCTGAGACTTCCTCAGTGGTGAAGCAGTTTACAGTGGAACAGTATTTCTACAAGGACCAATAAGAAATGGTAAATTTAAAAGGTTTTTTAAGTTAGTTTGAAGGTGTAGGAGCTGCCAAGGCATACAAGACCTGTGAGGCCAGATACCAGAACAGAAGTCACTGAGGTGAAGCCAACTTTCTGCCCAGCCATCCTTACCAGGCACTGCTGATCTTTGGTGAAAGCCAGACAGAGGGCAGCTGAATGGAGGCAGAGCAGCCAGAGGAGCTTTAAGGAAAACTCATGAGGTGGCAGAGATAAATTAGGGTTCAGGGCTACGGAGACAGCCAGGGCTTGAAGGAAGAGCTGCTGAAGAGAAGGGAGTGCAGGAGTGAGAAATCCCGCCCTGGTTTCCCTCCACAGTATTTGCCAAGTATGTAGAGCAAGAGAAAGGAGCCAAGTAGATGAAGAGTAGACAGTTTTCATCAGTCTTGTGGAGGCTTAGCAGGTGAAGGGATTAGTGAGATGGAAAATGAAAGAGGACAGATTACTCACACTGAAGCACAGAGAGGAAAAAAGACGAAAAACACAGAAAGGGTATCAAAAGACAAGGGACATGAGGAAACGGCCTTACACACATACGACTAAACTTCCAAAGAAGAAAGAGCAAGCAGATAATAGCTGAAAATTTTCCCAAACTAAAAGAGCTCCACCTACAGATTCATGAAACACTTGTGCCCCGAGCAAGACCAATACAAAACCAAAACAGGAAACCACCATACTTCATGGTAAAACGGCCGTCCCAGCAAAATGGTTAAATGCTAAAAAGAGAGGATTTCTTAAAAGGAAAAAAGGTATGTTATGTTCAAAGGACAACAGTACGATGATTACCTCAGCACAGAAATGAGAACTGAAACACAAAGGAATGACACCTTCACAGTACTGGGCGGGGGGGCGGGGGAGGAACTGCCAGCCAAAAATTTTAAACCTAGTGGAACCATCCTACAAATGTAAGGGCAAAAGAAAGACGTTTACAGGCAGAGAAAAAGGACAGCAGCCATAGCACCACAGCTTACATCTTTTAATGCTAAAAGTAGAGGGAAAATGATCCTTGTTGAAAGCAAAAAATATATATATGTTAATATGTATATACGTATGTACACATTTGTGCATACATATATATATATGTATATACTAAAGAGTATACAAAAAATAAAGGTGTGGATGAAAGTAAGTATCTACTACAAAAAACAACTTCTTAAGGTGTTTGAAATATATGTAGAATTAAATGCATGATGACTGGAACATAAAAGGCAGGAGAGGTGAAATGGTCTGAATGTTTGTGTCCCCCTAAAATTCACAGGTGGAAATCCTAACTCCCAAAGGTGATGGTATTAGCAGGTGGAGCCTGTGGGAGGGACTTACATCATGAGGGTGGGGCCCTCATGAATGGGATTAGCGTCCTTGAAAGAGGGTACAGAGAGCTCCCGAGCCCCTCCCACCATGTGAAGGCACAGTGAGAAGGTGCCGGCTATGAACCAGGAAGCGTGCCCTCACTTGACCAGGCCTGGGCAATGATCCTGGACTTCCAGCCTTCAGGACTGTGAGAAATAAAATTTGGTTGCTTATAGGTAAACCAGTCTGCAGTATTTTGTTACAGCAGCCCAAATGAACCCAGACAGGAAACTGGTACCAGAAGTGGGGTGCTAGAATATATCTAAATATCTAAAAATGTGCCAGCAGCTTTGGAACTGGATAATGAGTAGACGCAGCAGAAGTTTTGAAGTATACACTACAAAAAAGCTGTGACTTTTAACTGTTTTTTTCTTTAACAAAGGTGATTATTATGAGGGCTCAGAAAGAGGTGAGCTGTAGAGAAGTGGTCGTGAACAGAATGTTGGTACAACTATGGAAGGTAAAGGTCATGTGGATGAGGCCTCAGACAGAAAGGAGGAACACGTTATTGAACAAGATGGAGGAAATGCAAATCCTTGCTATAAAATACCCAAGAGTTTGGCTGAATGATGTCCTAGTGTTTTGTGGAAGGCAGAATCTGTGAGCAATGAAACTGGATTTATCTTCTGCTATCTTTGTCTAAAAAGTATAAAAGCTGCCTGCTTCAGCCACTTCCTAGGTCCCCTTTCTATGAGACCTCCAGTGCACACAAATTAAAATGTATTTCTTTTTCTCCTATTAATCTGTCTTGTGTCAATTTTTTCATTAGATCAGCCACAAGTACTCAAGAGAAGTACAGGGGGAAATTTCCCCCACCCAGACACTATATTCCAGGATCAGGCCAAGCTCTTTACCCCTATTTCCTCAATGAATCAATCCTATGAGTTAGGCACTATGATTATGCCCATTTCTCAGATGGAGAACCTGGGGCTGTTGGTAACATGTGAGAGGTGAGCAAGTGCAGACCGAGGCAGCCCGTCTCTGGGAGTCAGTAGTTCTACTGATCATCTATAAGACAACTTGAGAATTTGAAAACACATTCTTTTTTTTTAAAGGACCGAGCTTTGAAATTAATTTTTTTAAGTTTGAAGGGAGGGACTTCCTTGGGGAAAAAAATAGTTTCTGGAGAAACCTTTTAAAAAAAGGAAAAGAAAACTTTACCCTTCCTGAAAGCCCATGTCAAATTGCTGTATTTTTTATTTTTCAATCACTTCTTCCATTATTTACTCAAATTTGTTCTCCACTCCTTAGTAAAACACTGAGTTTCCTACAGTTTACAATGTCAAAGCATTTTCCTCAACGCCTGGGTCTTTGGTAAGGCTAACAGCGACCTCTAGAGGGCATTCTCTCAAAAAGCCTAACTTTCCTTTTTCCTGCTAACAGAGCTGATACAGCTGGTAACCACCCCCCACCCCACCCCCCCCACCCCCCCCCCGGTTATCCCAGCCCCCAGCAATGCAAAAGGCTGGCCTCGGCTCCTTGGCAGTTGCCACAGTGAAAAAACCAGCATTCTATACCCGCACTCCTGGCTGGGTCTGGCTCCTGGCTATTTCAGTGTGGGCCACAGATCACCAGCACAGTTATTACTGCGGGGAGTGTTGAAATACCAAATACCCTCCACGCACAGAATCAGGGTCTGGAGTTCAACAAAATTCTCGGGTGATTTATACATACATTAAAGGTTGACACCTCCCTATTTTTAAATTATCTACATCTGGTAACATGGATGCTTAGAAATTCTATTACAGGTTACCAAGTTAATTTTATACTGGAAATACAGAAATCCACTAACAGCTTTTTATCAGCTATTTTAATTCTCAAATGATTTTTAAATTACTAATAACCTGATCTGGCCACGGAGTTTTCTTCTCCCACAATCACAATATACCCCCTCTCCCCACTAAAGCCTTAAAATAATGTATAAATTCTGACTCAAGGGGAGGTATTTTTCAGCGTGCTATTATCACAGGATTGAATAGGAAATACAGTCCACGGTGTACCGGACATCTCACATGTGAGGTTAGAGATAACAAAAAGTGTGGGTGAGAAGAGGCATTCTGGGGAGACCCATGACAACACAGCCCTGTCACCCAGAAACCTCAGCCCAGGGCCTAGACTGGGGGTCCAGCTGATGATAACAATTAAGATCACAGGCTTTGAGCATCAAACCTCAGGGCTCCTTACAGTCTGTAAAACTAAGTGAACTGCTTCATTTTTCTACTTCCATTTCCTCATCTTAAAAATGGGGTTATTATGAGGA